GTAAAATCTTGCTGTGTTTCCAGATGTAAAGTTCAAAGGATGCTGGAAGGATGGAGGTGGGATGGGCAGGGAAAGTTAGATGGGATGGAGGCAGGCTGCAGGCAGGCTGGAGGAGGGAAGAAGGAGGAATGGAGATGGGCTGGAGAAGGGAAGCAGGCAGGATCACAGAATCATGGAATGGTTTGGGTTGGAAGGGACCTTAAAGCTCATCTCATTCCAACCCCCTGCCATGGGCAGGGACACCTTCCACTATCCCAGGTTGCTCCAAGCCCCGTCCAACCTGGCCTTGGACACTTCCAGGGATGGGGCAGCCACAGCTTCTCTGGGCAACCTGTGTGATGTGGGTGGTGTTCAGGAGGGATGGGGCTGGAATGCAGGTGGGATGAAGGCAGGATGGAGATGGAAGAGCAGAGCGTGGGATACAGTTGGGATTGAGGAAGTATGCAGACAGGTTGGTGGAGGAAAACTAGATGGCATGGAGATAGGATGGATCACAGAAGCAGGAAGGATGTGGGTGAGATTGAAAAGGGATGAAAGTGGAACGCAGGTGGGACTGAGGAGGCAGGTTGGAAGAGGAAAACTAGATGGGATGAAGGCCAGCAGGAGGTCAGAAACAGGCAGGAGGAGGAATGCAGGCAAGATGGAGACGGGATGGAGGTGGGAAGGTGGGATTGAGGAAGGACGTGGGAAGGTTGGAGGTAGGAAAAGTAATGGGGATGGAGGTCGGCAGGTGGAGAGAAGCAGGCAGGAGTAGGGATGGAGGCAGATTGAAAGAGGAAAACTAGATGGGATGGAGGCTGGCAGGAGGACGGAAACAGGCAGGAGGAGGGATGCAGGCATGATTGAAATGGGATGCAGGTGGGATTGATGTAGAAAAACTCATTGGGATGCAGGCTGGCAGGTGGAGGGAAGCAGGCAGAAGAAGTGAAGCAGGAATAGGGATGGAGGCAGGGTGGAGGCACGATGGCAGAGGGTGGGATGCAGGTAGGACTGAGTAAGGTCACAGGCAGGCTGGAGGAGGGATGCAGGCAGATTGAAAGAGGAAAACTAGATGGGATGGAGGCTGGCAGGAGGACAGAAACAGGCAGGAGGAGGGATGCAGGCACGATTGAAATGGGATGCCGGTGGGATTGAGGAGGCTGGCAGGTGGAGGGAAGCAGACAGGATCAGGGAAGCAGGCAGGAGGAAGGATTCAGACAGGATGGCAGAGGGTGGGTTGCAGGTAGGATTAAATAAGGTCACAGGTAAGCAGGAGGAGGGATGCAGGCAAGCTGGAGGTAGGAAAACTCAGTGGTATGGAGGCTGGCAGGTGGAGAAAAGCCGGCAGGATCGCGGAAGCCGGCAGGATCGGGGAAGCAGGCAGGATCGGGGAAGCAGGCAGGCAGCAGGGGCGGGCAGGAGGCGGGCAGGCGGCAGGATGCTGTCACGGCGGGGGCGGGCCGGGCGAGGTGACTCAGCCTCCGGGAGCTGCCCCGGTCGCCGCTACCGAGGTTCGGGGGTGAGTCCTGGGGGCCGGGCCGGGGACGCGCATAAGGGGCGCAGCGGGGCGCGGGTGCGGGAGCGGCTACGGGACTGGTAAGGGCAGAGGATGCTGCGGGTCGGGGGACACGCGTGGGGCGGTGGGCACGGGGCACCCCCTTTCCACGGCTCCGTGGGGGCTGCTGAACATCCAGCGGCAGCGTCTCCCGCTTTTTCCAGCGGCGTTTTTTTGGGATTTTTGTCCGTGGCTGGCGCGGGAGGGAGATTGCGGTTGAGGGATGCGGGAAGGGGTTTGCGCTGCGGCTCGAGGGTGCGGCTTGTTGCCGGAAAAATGCCTTGAACCGTCAAAAATCAGCAAGCCTTCAGAAGGGGTCACGGGAAGGGAGAGGAAGCGTTGTTTTTATAATAAAGGCAGGAAAAACACCCCAGCCCTGCTCGTCAGCTGACGCTGCGGTCGGTTTGGCACTCTGGGAACATCCCGTGATCACAGCCTAGCCTGGGTCTGGACCAGGACCGTGGCTTGGGAATGGCGCTGGAGAAGCTGCCATGCATCGCCCTGGCCTGGAAGAAATCTCTCATCCATGTATCCCGATCCCAGGGATGCTCTGCAGGCGTGGTACAGCAAAGATCGCGTCCTTCGGGCATTTCCCTCCTGGTTGCGGATGAAGGGAAGGGATTTCCGTAGCACAGGGTGTCTGAGGTCTTATGCAAGGCTCTGGTTTGGGGAGTGGACTGTAAGAATAGGAAAAAAAAATCAGTGCAGCAGAGGAATCTTGTACTTTCTGTGCATGGAAGCTGTAAAGGTGAGCACTGCAGCTTGTGTCAGGATGGATTTATTTTGCCAGATACTGAACAGCCTGGTCTAGTAGGAATTGGATGATCTTTAGGGTCCCTTCCAAGCCAGACCTTTCCTGGATTTTGTTCTCTAACCTGTGCTTGTGATCTGGCTTTGCTAGAAAGGAGTAAGTGTGGGAAAGAGTGCCTCATGTTGTTTTTTCTTGAAGAAAAAAGAATTCAAGTTCTGACAGTGCAGTGAGAGCTGTAATGAAGTCACCAGGCCACGAGTTTGGTGCTGCCAAGTTCACCTGGTGGGCACAGCAAGCTGAGCTGGATTGTATCCTGAATGGGTTTGCTTTGTTGTGGCTTGGAGTCACAGACTAACCCTGGCAAACAGGACAAAGGACAAAGCCTGGCCTGGGCAAAGGGCTGGTGCTGAGGAGGACACATGACTTGGGCGTTGCTGAGCACCCCCCTCGACCGGGAGGGGCACCCCTGGCCCTGCAGGGGTGGGGGGTGTTTTAGAATTGAGGGTGGGACAGCTTTTATCTTCCTCAGACCCTTGGAGAAGGGTGTGTGAGTGACTCTGTCTGTGCCTGGAGGGGTTTGGCCCAGACAGTGGAGAAGCTGAGATGCCTCAGGGCTGTGACTTATCTCGTGGTCTGACCTGCCTCAGCTGAGTCATGTGAGCTGGGCTTGGAACAGCCGGTTTTGGGGTTGGGTTGTTGTTCCCTAAATAAAAGTTAAATGGGACTTGTAGGCTTTGATTTTTGGGGTAATTTGGTGAAGACCTTCGTGATGGGACTCTGCAGCAATAAAGGGATTTGCTGTTGTGGGCACCGGGCACCTTCCTTGGCTGCTTAGAGGGGGGGCTGTGGGATCCTGCTGATGTCTGGAATAACAGGGTTTAAATAGCAGGAGCTCTGTCCCTGGGAAAGTCGGTGGGGAACTGCCCCTGGCTCCTAGATCTGGTTGAGAGGGATGGAGAAAGCACCTGGGTGGTGTCTCCTCCTTCCCTCCTCCTCTGCGACAGCACAGAAGGATGTGGGTGGATTCTGCAGCACCAGCACAGCCATCTCCCTTTAGATACTCTCCTCCCTCTCAGTCTGCAGCTGCTCTGAGCAGCTCCTGTCGGAGAGCCTTCGGCCTCAGTGATTGCTCCTCACTGGCTGGGAGTGGGGGGCTTGAGAGCTGCACTCGGGGGCCCATATTTCCTCTTTTTAAGCAACCAGCTGGGTGAATTGTGAAATTGTGAGCATCCTGCCCAGGGACAGGTGTGCTACTGGGCAGTTATTTCTTGCTTGTTCTTCAATAAACTGCAGTAACAGTTTTGGATCCGAAAGCAGGGGGGTTCTCTGCTCCCAGGGCTGCAGCCCAAGAGGAGGTGAAACAGCTTGGATGGCTTTTGTAAGCCCCAAACATCCTCCTCCCACCTGGAGAGCTTTCTAGGGTGAAGCTGTCGTATCCTAAGAAGTCCAACAGCCTTGTTTTTGTTTTCAAGCTAATGAGCTGTGGTGGGATGTGACCTGTGAAAACAGCCTTAGCCAGGGTTATCCCAAAGCTGCGAGGCACCTCCGGAGCCATGGGAGGGTTGCAAAGGGAAGGGATCTCCTGGGTTTGCTGGAGCAACTCCTCTGACCTGTTCACTGTGCGTGAAGAGGAACAGGTATCTGTGGGGTGCAGCAGCTGTTTCGCAATTCTGGGTTTGGTGCTGCTCCTCTGATGGTATTTGGAACAGCCGTGGGGTTTTAGTGGAGGAGGTTGTGTGTGGAGGAGATAGAGGTGGTGGGGGAAGCACATGCCTGATAACGCTGCCACAGGAAGCTCTTGCAGCTCGAATCAGCTGGGAAAGGGGGGTGATGGTGGAAACCAGCAGCCTTTTCTTGCTGCGGCGTCTCCCGGGTCGTTGTGGCTCTGGCTGCACGTGACCCACCGTCAGTGGGAATCGGGAATCCATCCTGCCAGTCCCGTGCCTGTGTGCCCTATTTATAGATCTGCTGTGCACAGGGCGCTGGCTGAAGCTGGGGAGGAGGGGGGGGGAGTTAGAGAGGAAGAAATCCCGCGAGATCGAGGATTTCCCTTTCCTTTTCCAGCCAGATGCTGGGATGTTCCATGCCAGCCAGCTGGGAGTATCAGCTCCCCCTTGAAACTTCGTGGCCATGGGAGGCCTCCTAGAATAATAAGAAGGTGTGGGTTGGAAGGGAAGTTTAAAGGTCATTTAGTCCAACCCCCCTGCAATGAGCAGCAGCATCTTTAACTATAAATCAGGTTGCTCAGAGCCCCATCCAACCTGACCTTAAATGTTTCCAGGGATGGGGCAACCACAGCTTCTCTGGGCAACCTGTGCCAGGGCCTCACTGCCCTCACTGGGAACCACTTCTCCCTAATATCCCATCTGACCCTGCGCTCTGTCAGTTTGAAGCCATTCCCTGCCCTGTCCCTCCAGGCCCTTACCCAAAGTCTCTTGGAGCCTCTTTAGGCACTGGAAGGGGCTCTCATGTCTCCCCAGTGTTCTCTCTTCCAGGTCGAACATGCCCAGCTCTCTCATGCCCCACAGGGAGGCTGAATGCCCAGGGGAGAATTGGCACAAGGTTTGTTTGCTGAAGCAAGGGGCTGGCTCCCAGCTCTTTGGTTTGCCAGTTTTGCTGGCCCTGGGCCATGTCGTGGGGCACATGCAAAGCAATAGAGCTGAAGCAGCAAAGGGAAACTGCAGGCATCTGTTTTCAGTTTGGTTTCAGGAGAGGAAACTGCAGGGATCTATTTTCAGTTTGGTTTCGGGTTGCCAGTGTGAACTGGTGACCTGAGGACGTGAGGTCTCCCGTGTCTGTCCCTCAAAAGCTGGGTGTGAGCAGCCTATCGGTTCCTTGCAGGGTGAGTTTCAGCCTGTCAGCAAATTTACAAGCATCCTACTGAAAAGAAAAGTGTCTCTCATGTGGCTTCTGGCCTCGAAAATACCTCCTTCCTGTGCTATGGAATAAACAAAGCTGACTGCAGGAAGTACAGAGGTTTTTTGGGGTTGGATTTTTTTGTGTGTGTTGTGTGTATTTTATTATTTTTTTTAATATTTTTCATTGAAAAGATGCTTCAGCTCTGGCTGGTCACCTGCAGGCTTATTGTGGCCGTGTCGAAGGGGCACAAGGCAAAAACCACAGTAGTCTTAGAAATGTGTATTTGTTTCTCTGGGTGTAACCTCCTTCCTGCTGCGTAAGCAGGAGAGCACGGAGGGGACACCAGGAATGCCAGCGAGTCCCTTGCCTGCAGAAACCTCTAAGCAAGCAAATATGCACGAAACCCCTGCAAATATGCATTAAACCACTTCAAAGAGGTGAGATTTAGGGGTAGGAGCACCCCTGTGCTGCTGAAAGTAAACTGTTTTTTGTGCTGAGCATCCTGCTGAAAGCACAAAGAAGGGGGTAAAAAAATAAATAAATGGTGGAAGTAGGAGGGGGGAAAGGAAAAAAAGCCCCTTTATACAGTGAGCTGCAGCCTCCTGGGCTTGCTGCTGGCAGAAAGTAGGACACTCCTGCTGGGTTTTCTTCTCTGGAAAGGCTAAACTTGGCTGTGAGTGGGTGGAAGCAGCCGGCATGGAGATGTGTGTGATCTCCCATCCCCATCCCCATCCCCTGCTCATCCAGCTCTGCCTCGGTGGGGTTGGAGAGCTGCTGGCAGGAGCTGCGTGTCCAGTTTAAGCCCAGGCTTGCAAAGGTGATTACACATTCAGCTCGCTGGGATGAGCAGGAATTAAAGCCTGAGTGTCTCTGCTGTGGAGCATACGAGGTCTTGGGTTGCTCACCGGGCTTGGAGCTCGCCGGGGTGGGTGTGGGGGTTGGTGGGAGGGAGCTGGGAGGGTTTGGAGGAGGAGGAGGGTGCCCTGGTGTGTTTGTAGAGATAGAGGAGCTTGTGGCCTGGTGATGTGTCTGAGTCAGGCGTGGGGACGTGGAACAAGCTGCTGGTGTTGGGGGTTAAACTGGAGTTGGGCGATTGGATGTGAGTTATATTAAAGGAGGCAAGAGAGCAGAGAAACCACCGAGCCTTGCAGCATCCTTGGCTGGATGGTGCTTGTGGTCCTTTGCAGGAGGCTGTTGTCCATTCTTTCGTGCTCTTGGATTTCCCCTGCGTCTCTGTTCCCCAAATTGGGACTTTCCTGGTGCCCTGCACCTCCCTGCTGAAAAGCCCCAGTGGGAGTGGGAGCAGGGGGGCAGCAGCCACAGGAAGCTTCAGTGCATGTGGGACCCCCTCTGGATGGGCAGGGGGTCACACCTGGGGGCTGTGACTCCGATCAGGGTCCCCAGGGCAATGGGCTGGCCAAAATGAGGCTGTGATGTCCAAAAAGTCCAAATTTGGAGTGATATCTTTTCAGGAAGAGTACTACAGTAGGGCCAGGAGTCAGCAAGTCCCTGGGGCTGCAGCCCTGCCTGGGGTTTGCCATGGAGGTGGGATGTCATTTACTCCTTCTCCTAGTCCTTATTCTCCATTTTTGTAGAAGTAAACACAGGTTTTAATACCCTCCAAATCCCTTGGATCTGCTTCAAAAAGTATTTTCCTGCTTCTGCTAATCCTGCAGTGGTCAACAAACAAGGTTGCCTTGTCTGATTTCTCCTGAGCTGCAGGAGGGGGGTTATTTCTCTGCTCCTGTGTCTCTCCTGACTTTTGGGGTAATTCAGGATACAAAGGGGCCTGGTGCAGCCACATGTTTTATCCTCTCACGTGTTGCTGTGATGATCCTTTGGTGTTGCTTGTGGTCTGAACCTACCTTGGGAAGTTTGCAATGATGCTCCAATCTGGCTGCAGGTGGAGTGTCCCATTCTTTGGCCAAGATGTGGCCATCCGTGTCCATCCTGTGTGTCCTGGTGGCCTTCGCCAACGCTCGCAGCATTCCTTACTTCCCTCCCCTCTCCAGTGACTTGGTCAACCACATAAACAAGCTCAACACTACCTGGAAGGTGAGTGCTGGGTTGATTTTTGGGGGGATATACATTGATAATATATTGTCTCTTTGTGGGATTCAGTGGCTGAGCTTTGGGAGTCTCACCACAGTGGTGACATCAAACCAGCCTTGATTCCAGTTGATTTTTCCAGTGAAGTGATGCTCTCAGGGGTTCCTGGAGTGACAGTAACTGGAGCTTCTCCTCTTTGGAGCAGAGCACTGATGAGTTTGTGGAATAGGAGCAATGTAAGAGGAGAAAACTCTGGAGGTGTCCAGCTCTGTTGGTGACCTGCCCAAACCCTCCTTGGCCAGTTTGCTGTGGCCAGACCCTTTAGATGGAACTTGCTGGTCATGATGGGCTCATCCTGGAAGGGGCTGTGTTCTGTGTCTCTGGGTAGTTGGCTTTTTACCCCTGGGCTTTACAGCAAGTGTTAGACTCTGGTTGGGATTCAGGGAGCTCTGGAGCACCAGGCTGGGCCCAGCAATGTGCTTGGCGGCTGTGAAGAGTTGTGTCCCATTTCTGTGTGTCTCTTCCCAGGCAGGGCACAACTTCCCCAATGCTGACATGACCTATGTAAAGAAGCTCTGTGGCACCTTCCTGGGTGGGGCCAAGCTCCCTGAGAGGTGAGTGCTGGCAGAAGAAGGTGAAGCTCCTGTAAAAGCTTGTCTGGATCTTCCAGATGTGTCTGGAGTGGGTGAGGGACTCTTCTGGCAGACTGTGAGCAGTGTTCCCATGGGTGCAGCCTGGTCGACATCATGCATGGAATTAAACATGGAGCATGTGTCAGGGGAATATCTGTCCTATGTCCTGCCAGATACTTGACCAACTGTGTAATTTGTTATCCTTGAAAATTAACACACTAGAGTAGCTGCTGACCTGGTCTGAGGACGTCAGAAGCACTTATGCTCCTTCAGTCAGCAAACAACAAGAGCCCTCATCCTCCAGGTCACCTTCAGAGGAGGTTGAAGAGTCCAGAGCAACCAGTCCTGTTACACTGGTGCTCCTGTGATGGGACTTCCTTCTTCTCACTTGCAGGGTGGACTTTGCTGCAGACATGGAGCTGCCTGATAACTTCGACTCACGGACACAGTGGCCCAACTGTCCCACCATCAGTGAGATAAGAGACCAGGGCTCCTGTGGCTCCTGCTGGGTAAGAACACGGGCAGCTTAAGGACCTGTTAATACAGACTTTGCTGGACAAAAACCATGCTGTTGGGTTTGCTACTGAACTGTGTAAATCATAGAGTCACAGAGTGGTTTGGGTGGGAAGGGACCTTGAAGCTCATCCAGTTCCAACCCCCCTACCATAAGAAGCAACACCTTCCACTTGATGAGGTTTCTCGCCTGGCCTTGAACACTTCCAGGGATCCAGGGGCAGCCACAGCTTCTCTGGACAACCTGTGCTAGGGCCTCACCACCCTTACAGCCAAGAATTCCTTCCCAATATCCCATCTAACCCTGCCCTCTGGCATTATGAAGAAACCATTCCCCCTTGTCCCTGTCCAAAGTCCCTCTCCAGCTCTCTCGGAGCCCCTTTAGGCACTGGAAGGGAGTCTAAGGTCTCCCTGGACCCTTCTCTTCTCCGGGCTTAACACCCCCAGCTCTCCCAACCTGTGTCCAGAGCAGAGGGGCTCCAGCCCTCAGAGCATCTTTGCTGCCCTATATGGGGGAACAGGGAGGATCCTGCAGTGTCTGAGCTCCTCAGTGTCTTCTCCCAGCCAGGCCCATGCCTGCTGCACTCACTGCCAGGAGGTCTCCTGGTTTCTCTCCCATGACCAGCTCTAATGGTGTTCTGGGGCTGCCCACAGGCTTTTGGCGCCGTAGAAGCGATTTCAGACAGAATCTGTGTCCACACCAACGCCAAGGTCAGTGTGGAGGTGTCAGCTGAGGACTTGCTGTCATGCTGTGGCTTCGAGTGCGGCATGGGGTGAGCTGCTCCTGATCCTTGTGCACTTGGAAGGGGGATGGGAGGAGCAGGGACACAACCTAGAGATGCTCATTGCTTCACCTCTGTCTTCCTGGTCTCCCTAATGAGCAGGAAGCTCCACCAGAGGTTTGTGCTGTGAGTGCTGGAGTTAGATGGGAACAAAAAGGTGATTTCATGGACAGGAATTCCTCTGGGACACATCCTGCCCCCAGGATAGTGGATGATGATGGCTGGTGGAAGGAGGGCAAGCCACAGCAATGCTCTTCCATGCAGAGCTGGCAGTTGCCAAAGCCAAGGGAAGGATCTTTTCCTAGTCCCAGATCCTTAGTTTTCAGCTACAAGCCTTTTGCCTGTGGCTTTTCCAGTTGTTGAGCACAGGGTAGGGAGTTTGGTCTCCAAGTCCTGTTGCTCCTGGCAGCAGAAGCTGATAAGGGACATGGTAAGGAGGCACTTTGGGATTTGGAGGCTCTTAGCTCCTTACCTGAGGGCTTTGTTGTTTCAAGGCGAGTCCTCGGGAAGGCAGGAACAGAGTAAAAGAATGTTCAATATGCCTTAAACTTTCCTTAAGCCATCCAAGCTCCCTCCATTCCCCTGCCTCCCCCAAAATGGGCAGGCTGGGGCTGGAACTGCTGCCTCTTCCTCCAGGTGCAATGGTGGTTATCCCTCCGGTGCGTGGAGGTACTGGACAGAGAGGGGCCTCGTGTCTGGGGGCCTCTACGATTCCCATGTGGGTAAGTCCTGGCAGATACCCTTGGGAAAACAAAGAGGACCATCTCTGCCTGGTTAAGGTTCATGTCCTTCGGGAGGCTTCTGTCCTTCTCTGCATCCTTGTGGCTTTTCCCTCCTTCAGGTCTGGGCTCAAAAACCTCTGCTGTCCCAGCTCCTGTCCCCATTTCTGGTGGCTCCTTTGGGACAAGGGTCCCTGAGCAGCACCTAGAGACAGGAGACCCATCCAGGAAGGGAGCCAGTAGCCCTTAACAATCCCACAAGGCTCCTGCTTCCATTGCAGGAATGAATCAGGCTGTGAATTTTTTGTTGTAGCTGGTTTTGGACTAGTTTGGTACATTTTGGATGAGGTCAGGAGATCTTCCCAGCATGTTTCCCCTTCCAAAAGTCACTTCCAGAGTGGAAACCTCAGCCTCCTCCTAGCATGGCCATGTTCCCATCGTGTTTCCATCTTTTCCATCTCCTTGTCAAGAGGCAGGTGGTGGGAAGCAGATCCAGAGGGAAACCCTTTGCTGACGGAGAGATTGCCCAACTGCCAGGGGAGAAACCTACTCTTGCACCTCACTGATCTGTAGGGTTCCTGGGTCAGAAAGACCCTTTCTCGGGACATCTGGTACCTTCTCCAGCATGGCTTGTTAGGAAATCTGGGGACAGCCAGTTCATGTCACCTCTGTCCTCGACAGGCTGCCGTCCCTACTCCATCCCACCCTGCGAGCACCACGTGAACGGCTCCCGGCCCCCCTGCACCGGGGAAGGAGGGGGAACCCCAAGATGCAGCAAGCACTGTGAACCTGGGTACTCACCCTCCTACAAGGAGGACAAGCACTACGGTAAGGGAGGTGACAGCACAGCTCCAGAGCTGTTCCTTGTGGCAACTTGGTGGGGTTGGCAGGGTTGGCAGGGTTGGACCTGTTCCCAAGCTGGTTTACTGTGGTTATTTTCTGTGCCTTGTCCCTGGAGACCCCAGTCTGGTGGTCCTGGAGCAAACAGCAGCCTGGCAGATGCACAGTTTGTATTTGTATTCCTCATCAACTGAGACTGGGGAAAGAAAATGGTTTGAGTCCTCATGGTGCACGTGGCTGGGTTGAAGAGTGTGGTGCTGAGTCCTGTCTGGTGTCAAAGCCACCTCCTTCTGACTCCTTGGTAGAGCCAGCCCTGTACATTTAGGATAATCCAGCTGTTTCTTAAAGATTTGTCTCAGCCTCGAGTAATTTGGATTGTTTTTTTGAGGATGTACAAGAAGAAAATTTCCATTCCCTCTGAAGCTGTCTGGAATAGGTCTTTGGGCACAGAATATGACTCAGATGAAATAATTCCCTGTAGAAGAGGGATATCTGGAACCCACTTTGCCTGCCTGACTGTGTCACTGTCTCCAGAGCAGCTGGGTTTGAATTTAACCTGAGATTAAGTGGAAGAGGCCTCTTGCAGGGTCACACTGAGCAGTCTCAGCTGAGCCATCCAATCCCTGTGTGGCCTGACAGTTCTGTCCTAATGATGGGAATTTTTTCCTCCCTAGGCATCACCTCCTATGGAGTCCCTCGCAGTGAGAAGGAAATCATGGCTGAGATCTACAAGAATGGCCCAGTGGAAGGAGCCTTTATTGTCTATGAGGATTTCCTGATGTACAAGTCTGGTGAGTGTCAGCACTGAGGCTGGGGGAAGCCCTGTTCCCTGCTTCATCCAGAGGGTCCTTCCTTTGTGGCCCTTGTCCCTCTGCTCAAGTCTGAAAGGAGATCTCAAGCTCACCCTTGAGTTTCTGGTGTGGCAGGACCATGGGCTGATGCCATCTGCTGTATCCATTGGTTTATAGCAAAGGGAATCAGTGCTTGGGAGTGGTTCAAGGAGGGAACCCCAATGGAGACTGCCCCAAATTCCAGCTGAGAACAACAGCTTGGATTTTAGGTAAAATCCTGGCAGAAGGACCCCAGTTCCTTGTTCTGAGCTGCTTTTTGGCCCCTTGCTGAGTGTCTCTGGATGTCCTGTGTGCTAAGCTGGTGCTGAGCATCAGTCATAGAATTGTGGAATGGTTTGGGTTGGAAGGGACTTTAAGGACCATCTCGTTCCAACCCTCTGCCATGGGCAGGGACACCTTCCACTAGCCCAGGTTGCTCCAAGCTCCATCCAATTTGTCCTTGAACACTTCCAGGAATGGGACAGCCACAGCTTCTCTGAGCAACCTATGCCAGGGCCTCACCACCCTCACACCAAGAATTCCTCCTAACATCCAATCTAAATCTCTCTACTAGTTTAATGCCATTCCCTCTTGTCTTGCCACTGTCTCCCCATGTAAAATTCCTTCCTCCAGACCCTTGAGTTTCAGGTTCACATTTAACCAAAAACCTCTTCTCAGCTGCCTTCTGGGTCCCCAAATCAGGTGTCCCACAACCTCTCGTTGCTCTGTGGCATGGAAACACAGTGCCCATGGACATGTTGGTGTGTTGCCTTGCAGGAGTGTACCAGCACGTGTCCGGGGAGCAGGTTGGAGGCCACGCCATCCGGATCCTGGGCTGGGGAGTGGAGAACGACACCCCGTACTGGCTGGTGGCCAACTCCTGGAACACCGACTGGGGGGACAATGGTGAGGCCCCACGGGGAACCCCCTCCCTGTTCTACTGGGCACGGTGAGGAGGCTGAGGTTGAGTGTTGCTCTTGGTGTGCTTCCAGGCTTCTTCAAAATCCTCCGAGGGGAGGACCACTGTGGCATCGAGTCCGAGGTCGTGGCCGGCATCCCCAGGACGGAGCAGTACTGGAAGAGGATGTAACCTTGGATCAAACCACAAATAATCCCGAGTCCCTGATGCTTTTAACTGATAGTGGGTTGGGTGCAGAGACCCCCCCCTTCTAAGAGACTATAGTTGAGATTACTTTATTAAAGCTTTTTATCTTTTCTTTTTTCCTTTTTTTTTTTTTGGTTGTTTTTCAGTTTTTTTGGTGGTTTTTTTTTTTGGTGGTTTTTTTTTTTGTACATCGGAGCTGGAGGTGGAGCTGCTCTCTACCAACCTTCTGCTCCTGGTGGGTTGCAGCCATGGGGCATTCCCTGCTCAAAGGACTGCTGGGGAGCTCGCTGGCCTCTTGGTGTTTGGTTAGCCTGGACCCCTTCCAGCCCAGTTTGTTACTGGGAGGGCAGGAAGCAGTAGCTTTGTGCTGGGATTAGGGACTTGCTGGGGCAGCAGAGATGGATCCTGCTGGGAAGCCATAGCCAGGAGGGATTTGTGCACCCCTGGCTGGGTTGGTTTGACTGTTAGTACCCAAAACAAGCAGGGAATGTTAGTGTGTGCCTTGAACTGGCTAAATTTAGACCTATTAGTGACAAAATACTGATGAACTTGATGTGGGGCTGGCTCTGGCCAGAGCTGCCTGCACCAAGTCCTTTGTGCATTGCTTGCTCTGCTCCATCCATTTGGCTTTTTAAACCACTTCAACTGTTCATTTGGTTTCTATCTGCTGTAGTCTGGGGTTCTTGATCCCAGGGAAGGGCCTGGCTGGAGCTCCGTGAGCCTTTGATCAAATATCCTGCCAGCATCCAGGAGGACACTGGAAAGAGCAAACCACTTTATATCCATGGCTGGGCAGCTTGGTGTGTGAACCCTGGGCAAGGGTGCAGCACCCAAAATTGGGGTGCTTTGGTGCTGGAGGTGCTGAATGCTGACCTGAGGGATGGCTCCCAAGTCTGCTGCAGATGCTTGGAGGTATCTCACTGACTTGCACACAATTGAAGCATTTTTTTTCTTGAGCCACAGGTGTTAAGGAAGAAAAATACCCTTATTTTTGTTACTGGGGGGAGGTGTAGTAGTTGTGTAGGAGGAATCATGATTTGCCAACACTAATATAGCAAAAGAGCTTTTTTTTTTTTTTTTTTAATTAAAGCACAAAGTATATTACTGAGCTGAGGCTGCAGGCTGAAACATGTGAAGCAGGCTCTCCCATGCATTGTAAAATAGCCCCTTACCTCTGCTTACTCAGACACCAGTGAGCCAGAGCTGTGCTGTTGTGGTTGGAACAACCGTGCCAATAAATGATTTCTCCAGTGTCTTGTCTCCTGGCCCCTGGTTGCTTCTGCTCAACTTCCAACCACCTCAAATGATTGTCTGCTGTGGAAGCAGGTGAGACCTTTCTGTCTTCATGGAATAGTTTGGGTTGGAAGGGACCTCTAAGATCATTCACTTCCAACCCCCTGCCATGGGCAGGGACACCTTCCACTAGCCCAGGTTGCTCCAAGCCCCACCCAGCCTGGCCTTGAACACTTCCAGGTCTGGGACAGCCACACCTTCTCTGGGCAACCTGTGCCAGGGCCTCCCCACCCTCAAATGGAAGATTTCCTTCCCAATATCCCATCTAACCCTGCCCTCCGGCAGTGGGAAGCCATTCTCCCTTGTCCTGTCCCTCCATCCCTTGTCCAAAGTCCCTCTCCAGCTCTCTTGGAGCCCCTTTAGGCTCTGGAAGGGGCTCTAAGGTTTCCCTGGAGCCTTCTTTCCTCCACGTGAACACCCCCAGCTCTGCCAGTCTGTCTTCAGAGCAGAGGGGCTCCAGCCCTTGGAGCCATCTCCATGGCCTCCTCTGGAGTCTGTCCAGCAGCTCCATGTCCTTCAGATGCTGGGACCCAGAGCTGGAGGCAGCTCTGCAGGTGGGGTCTCACCTGAGCAGAGCAGGAAAATCACTTGCACTTCCCTGTGCAGGTGTGGTCAGTCCCATCCCTGTCCTCTGGCCCTACTAGTGACAGCCACTGCCTGGGGCTTGTGCTGATGGTGGGGAAGGTGCTTCAGCCTGGATCAGAGAACAGCCAGGCCTGTCTCCAGCATCCCTGGAGGAGGAGGAGGATGCACCAAGGCACTGGAGCACGTGTCTGCAACCCAGGGCTGTGCCACCACTCCTGCTGCCTGCTGGGCAAGCTCCTTTCAAAGTTAATTTACTGCCCCTCAGCTGTCACCCTGGTTAAAATTCTTCCTTTGTGTCTGGCACACAGGGCTGTGCTGTGATACCCTGACTTGGCAGCAAGAAAACACTGGAATTGCATCTGAGCTGAGGGCTTGTAACTTGTGTGTGGAATTACTGGTGTAAAAGAAATGACAGCCAGAAAAAAAAAAATCCAACACTTTTTTTTTTTCCCAAAGAAAACTTTAATCTCAACAAGACTGGAAGCTGCACAAAGAGAGCTACCTCAAGATTCTTCAGAATGACAGCTTAAAACTTATCTACATTGGTACCTGTGGAGTTGGGGTTCTCCTTTTTAACAGCCTGGCCACAGGGGATGGGCCTTGCAAAGGCCACCAAACTGTCCCTGGCAGCTCTGTCCTGTTCCAGGACATGGGCCCTCCTTCCCTTCGCGACAGCAAAGCAGCATTTGAGGGGGGTGGGTAGGGACCTTGACAACAACCATCCACCCCAGGATAATAGGACTTGCCTTTAAAGTGGTTTTTTTTTCCTCTTCTAAGTCTGAATGTGTCTGATGTGTTTCAGACCAGCCTCTTCCAGCTCTCACGTTAGTGTAACCCAAAGCACCATTCCAAAGCCAGAGCCAAGCAGGCCAGGGAAACCTGCCCTGGTCACCCCCTCAGGGGCTCCAGCCTTCCCAGCCCATGGCAGGCATTGCTGCTGCCTTTCAGGGTGGCCAATGCCCCCCCAAAAAACATCCCGTGAGGGACAGCAGGGTGCAAACCCTCACTCCCCTGCCTTGCTGTGCCACCACCACCCATCCCCTCGGGCTGAGCCCAGACCCAACAGAGGAGTCAGGCCTGGGGTTATGAGCTCAGGGCCATGCTTGCATCTCCCTCCTCATTTTAACCCCCTCCCCACTACTAAAACAAGGGCTTTGTCAGTGCAGGGGTCATCCATCACAGGGCAGGGAACTGCACAGCTGCCTTTCAGCTGGGGGCACATTTAAGTGGACAGAGCATCTCACCTTCTATTTCTTTAACATTAAAAAGGCTTCCTTCAGCATCCTTCAGCACAACAGAAATAGCACTGCTGCCTCTGCCTGTTTCCAGGCTGCAGGATGTCAACCAGCCTGGGCTGAGGGCCAGAAGGTGGCCAGAGCTTTTTCCCTGGATAAGAAAGCATGTTCCTCTCCCAGCTGAAGCAGCATCCTTCCAGAACAGGGCAGGCACAGGAGGTGATGGGGAAGAGGCTGCCTAAGAAAGGGAGGCAAAACCCTCAGGGTTTTGCTCAGCTCTGAGCTGGAAAAGATGCCTCAAATCTCAAGGAAGAAAACAAGCAACTGGAGTTTCTATTTCAAATCATCCTAACACAAAAAAAAAAAAAAAAAAAAGAAAACCTCAGGTAAAACCATCCAACAGAAAAGAAGGGGAAAAAAATAACTCAACCCCAAACAATAAGACTCCAATTAGCACTTGTAACCATCCAAGCAGCTGGCAAGGGCAGTGAAGATGGAGTCCAGCAATGCCACAGTGTCACCCCGGGGCTGCAGCTCACCGGGGGGGTCCCTTCCTCTCACATTCCCAGTGCCCAGGGCCTGGCCATCCCCACGGATGGAGCCTCCTGCCCCCGCTGCCCACCTGCCAACCAGCTCTCTCCCTGCCCACCCGCTGCCCATCAGTTCTCTCCCGCCTGGACGTACTCCTCGGTGGCCTTGGAGAGGGTGCTGAGGTACTGCCAGCTCAGGGCTGCCAGGAGCATGGCACAGGACAGGTAGATGGGGGAGTAGTGGTGCCGGGATGCCATGGAGCTGCCGGGCAGGCTCATGGCGCGGATGGAGGCGATGACCTGCTGCGTCTTGTTGGAGGAGGGGTCAGTGCTTGGGATCTTCTGGTAGATCTAGGGAAGGAGAGAAGACGAGTTGTGGTTTCCATGCAAAGGTGAGGAGAGAAATAGGAACACTGGGTGGAAGAGGAAGGTTTAAGGGCCACCGTGTCCTCAAGAGTAACCTCGGTGGTGGACTGCCATGGAGCACTGGATGCCTGGATGGGTCCAGGGAGTCTCCCTTGGGAAGAGCACTAAGCCAAGCTGCCTCTTGAGGGCACCCCATGACGGGACATGGACCACACAGATCCCTCAACCACCAGTGGTGATACTGGGACCAGTGGTTTTCACCTTGCAACCTTCACTCACTGCACATGTGCTGCAGCTCAGCTAAAACCAGAGGGGACACCCCAGCATGTGACTGCCTGGAAACAGCCACCTCCATCAGCTAATTCTTTTGGGTTTTCTCTTCAAATCCCATGGCATTTGGGATAAGTGTTTGCATGAGTCTTAGCAAGGTGGGTACAAGCAGAGCCACAAGGACAGTCCACAAGGGCAGCTCTAATAACTCATGGTTTGGGGTCTCTCTAGTACAGAAGTGATGTCTTTTTACTTAACAGCCCCAATGGATTTGGGTTTTGGGGAGTGGGGCAGGTTTTTTCCCATGAAACCACTCAGTAGTTGTTCCTCCACATGAATTTTTAACCTCCACAAGACCTTAAAGCAGCGAGTAAGAAGGTCCCCCCTGAGCCTCCTTTTCTCCAGGCTAAGCCCCCCAGCTCCCTCAGCTGTTCGTGGTGCTCCAGCCCCTTCCCTAGTTCCATTCCCTTCTGTGGACACACTCCAGCCCCTCAATATCTTTCTTGTCATGAGGATCCCAAAACTGACCCCAGGATTCAAGGTGTGGCCTTACCAGTGCCCAGCACAGAGGGACAATCACTTCCCTGGTCCTGCTGCCGCACTGTGGCTGACACAGGCCAGGATGCCACTGGCCTCAGTCTCTACTTCTCATCAGAGGCCCAGATGTGTTCAAGGGAACACATCAAGCACCAGTTTGGTCCAGGCTAGAACCACATTCCCTGCCACCACTGAGCTGAAGGGTACAAGGAAAGCATTAACAGAGTTACCACGTGTTCCCAATTCCACACCAAGAACGGGCACAGGAACAGCCAGAAATTATTCAAAGCCAACTGCTGAACCCACCTCTTCCACATACTGGTACATGATGGCTTTGACAGCTTGTATGTTGGTGGCATCCATCATGAGGGTGACGGCTTGTCCCTTCCGGATCTTCACCACACCCCTGAACACCTGCTTGTTGTTGTAGCAGGCAGCCAGCGTGGCAATGGCCATCACCTAAGGACACACATGGAGAGCCTTTACTGCACTGTGAGGAACGTGCCAAGAGCTCACCTTGATTCTAGTGACATTGATGGCAAGACACTGGAACGGAGCCACAATCTCACCAAGGGCAGAAATGGTAGGTACCAGGAAAGAAGGAAGAGATGGGAGAATAAAACAGGCTAGAAACACATGATCCACAACCACCTTCACCTCCAGCTTCTCACCAGATGGTGAAGAACCACTTGAAAGCAGAACTCACCTGGGGGATGGCGCAGAAGTTGAAGACGCTTTGGTTTTTCAGGCGGGACAAGTAGGTGAGGACGTCGGGGACGTGGTGGAGGGCGTTGGTGATGAGCTCGTTCAGACACTGCACGGCCATCTCAATGTTCTCCGGCTTGGCGAGGTCCGAGAGCTTCTGTGCGTATCTGCTCCAAACCTACACACCAAGATAGGGACTCATGAGCTGGAGGGGACATTCATGTCGTAGGAGAGACATCAGGAACAGCCTGAGGTGTGGGACAGCAACAGGAAGCACGAGAGACCCACAAGAACCTTGAAGCACTACTAGGATAAAGGAAAGCAGGAAGGGCAGGCTGTGGAGACGTGACAGTGGCCTTGGTGGATACAAAGGGGTTGTAAAGAAGGATGAACTCGTCCCCACATCTTCTTTAGGCAGGGCAAAAAAAAGATGAGGCACACATCAGGCTGACACAGAATCACAGAATGGTTTGGGTTGGAAGGGACCTTAAAGCTCATTAGACCAGGTTGCTCCAAGCTCCGTCCAACCCGACCTTGAACACTTGAACATCAAGAAATGCTCTTTAAGAGAGGTGAGCCACTTAGAAAAGGGACAGAAAAATTCTTGGAGGATCAAGACAAGCAGACGAGCGGCTCTCAGGCACAGGCAGAGCTAATCCTGCCTTTGGGAGCAGGCCAGGTACCCTCTCGAGGTCTCACTCAGCCTTATCCTTCCTCATTTCTAGAGCCAAT